ACTTTGGAGATTAAAATTTTCTTAACATTATTGTCAATAATTTTATTTTTTAATTTTTATTATCAATAATTATGTTATTTTTAATATTATACATTAAATTCTGTCAAATTTTATTATTTTTTATTTTTAAGTTTATTTTATATTAATAATAATAATTTTTAACTAATTAAATAATATTTTTACTTTATTATTTTAAAAAAATTAATTTTAGTATTAATTTTTTAATATAATATTTATAATTTATCAAATAAAAACTATTACATAAATTTTTATAATATAATATTTAATTTTTTTAATATATTACCAAAATTAAATTTTTATTTATTCTATTTTTTTCTAAAATTATAACTTAAATAATTCATATAATAAAAAAATATATAAATTTTAAATTTCCTATTCAAAAATAATATATATATATATATAATAAAAATTATTATTTAATATTTTTAATAATTATTTAAATATATTTAAATAATTTAATATATATTTAAATAATACATTATTTTTATTATTTTATATATAAATATTATTTAAATTTTAAAATTAAAATTTTATTATTAATATTATTTTTAATTATATTTTTATTTAAAAAAAGATAATAAATTTAAGGTTGGAATTCGTTTTTCAGACGCCGAATTCTAAACTTAACATTAAAAAGGTTCAATTGAGTAAATATAATATATTATATGTATATATATATATATATATATATATATATATATTATAATATTATGTATATATATATCGAAGATGCATCAGATTATTTGTTCAACTCCTTGGATTTCGTTTCTTATAAAAAAAAAGGTAAAGTGATGTAATTAGTGAAAATGAGTTTTTTTTTTTTTTTTTTTTTTTTTAAGTAAGCCATCATGCATGTAGAAGGAAATTATTTTAGATTGAAGAAGAGATATACATCCGCAATGCAGGTTGGTCTGTGTAACTATGCAAAACAAAAGGAAGGAGACAAAGAAAAGCTAAATTTAGAAGCTTTAGATTTGAGGGATGAAAAGTCAAGCAGCACACATAGCTTTCTCTTTCATCTCCATTTTTGAAAGAACATTCACTGTGAAAATGGTGAGTATCTTTGATCCAGTGTGAAACCAAAAGCTTTTTAGTGACCAACCATCTCAGTCCCAATGACAGTGGTTTCAAGTCATCTTCAGAACCAAGCCTTTAACTACATTGATTCTCACTTAGTCACAGTCACAGTCACAACAACCAGCAAACTAATCCCATATGACTGAACCATGCATGAAACATTGATATCTATCTGCATGCGTTTTTCTAGTTTCTGTAAATATATAAGCTAGTAAAGATTTGAACTGCAATGGCACATGGTTATTTTTTTTTTCCTAAAATTGATTAATAAATTTTCTATTTTTACTGAATCATGTAAGCTGTTGTAGCTTCTTCATTAGGATAATCCTTCATTTTTATTGGCTTAAGCTTTGGCATTTACTATATTGACACTTGACATATATATTCTGTTCAGTATAAGTTTATCTCGCTGCATGTGTACTCATACTAAAAACGGGTATCTTATTATAATTCCAACATAAAATATATACTCTATATAATAATCACAGCAATATCAAACTAAACAAAATATTTTTAAATAAAAGATAGCAAAGGAATTAATTAGATATGAAATCTTTTTAACCTTATGACATTTTGAGGATGCAAATTTTTACGATTTGATATACTCAAATTTCGTCCTGATTTAATTTCATTTTCTACATTAATGAAAACAGTCATATAACTTTAAACAAATTTTCCCAACTATTTTTTTTAATGATTTCGTTATAAATTTTAATACCAATTCAACTTTAAATAAAAAATAATCAATTAGATTTAACTTTTTTTAGAGTTTAAAAATATTAATTTAAATAACGACAATTTGTCATCTTAAATTATTTCATCTTAAATTATTTGTCTATACCTCATTTTAATAATAATAATAATAATAATAATAATTTATTAATTTTTTGTTTCTCATTATAATAATAATTATTTATCATCAAACTATAAAAATATTTTTTAAATATAATTTCTTTTATCTTATTTCCAAACTGAAATACATATTTTAAAAAAAAGCTATAAATAAGTATCTTAAACAACTTGCCAAAAATACATTATATATATATATATATATATATATATATATATATATATATAATTGAATCACCCAAAATTTATTTTACAAACTATTTGTTTTTATGCCTTTCTAATAGTTTTTTTAAATAAATATTGTGATCACTATTCTATTTTTTTTAATAAATCTTTTATTGCTCTGCCGCAATGATGGCTACAATCACTAGTTTATTATTTATATACTGTAAAATCTACTCTTACCTTTAACTATTTGGACTAATTATTGGAAATTGTGGTTCTTTGCAATGCTTTTTTAAAATACATGTGAAGGATGACAAATTAAATTTCTATGGATAATTTTAAGAGATTCAAAAAGGATATCGATACATTTACGTGTGTGTGTATATATATATATATATATATATATATATATATATATATATATATATATATATATATATATATATAATAATCATAATTTAGCCATCATCCGTAGTAAAGTCTATGTTGATGGTCCATCCCTACTTGGTTCTACTGCTTTGAAAATTGTTGGTTCTCAACTTTTAGCCCAGAAAATTAGTTGTTTAGTTGCATCCATGTGCCATTTTCACTTATACATCACATTCTCATCATGGGTCTAAATTGTGATTGGAAACAGCAATAGCCCTGGATTTGCTACTCCATCTCTGATGAATCTGGTGGTAAAATTTGGAACAATTTTTCTATTGAGAGATACATCTTTTTCACGTAGATGCGTGTATGACATTGCAAACTGTTAGACAAAGCAATATATGAATTCACATGCTATACTAAATGCATAATGCTTGGTCGGCACATGATTCCTTCTTTATGAAGATAGCTAAGCTTCGCAACTTGCAAATATATGCACAAGATTTGCTTCTTCTTTTCTCTTTCTTTTTCTTTTTATATCCCTTGAGTCGGTGTACAGTGGTAACACTGCAAATACATTCTTATGTTTGAAAACATCTCTGCCAATGATCAATTGACTTTGGTAGTAGTTGGTAAGGAAGGACACCACATGCGTATCTTCAAAGTTAGTTGTGTTCAGTTTAAAGTAACAAATTCAACAGCTTCAATTTTTGGTTTGCTATTATGGGACTCATGAGAGCCTTAAGGTTACTACTTCCCATCCCTTTACAGTGGGGATGTTACTTGCACTGCCTCAACACAACTCTAAATAACTTTTAAAAACAAGTGTCAGAGAAAAAAAAAATCGCCTTAATGAGCATTTATGAGCAGTCCAATACCTGCAACTTTTATATACAGAATGAGTGTGAGAGGGAAGAAGAAGGAACAAAAGGACCCCAAACATTTATACCCAAACGGATATTGTAATGTTTTCTTCCCTCTTTCCTTATATATCTGTGAGATAAAAGAGATGAGTTTTTACTCACACAAATAACTCACAAATCGTATCTTGAACCAACATAACTCAATGATTGGACAAACCTTCTTTCGTTTAGGTTCCCTTTTCTCTCTTATTATTTATTTTTTTCTTTTATAATGACTGAGAAGAAAAGATTAGTTTGTATATATGGTTAGTCTAAAATACTTTTTATGAATAAATACAACTTATTGTCACTTTATATTTAGTACGATGTTTAAATCCCTTCTTTCCCTCCTATGACCACTCTCCGAGATTCTTAAAACAAATAAGACCATTTTCTTTACATTAAGATACATGTTAACGTCATAATATACAACATGCTTACGTCATTGACTTATAGGATGGTGTGAAACAACCAAGCTTAACTACGTCATTGATGCTAAAATGGTCAGTAGTGGATTTTATAACAATAATTTTTTTACAACTTATATTAAAAGAAATACGAAAATCTAAAAAATAAACTAAATTTGAATTTGATTTAATAAGATACAGTAGTTTCAAATTTAATGTCAACTTATTCAAAATAAATGGATTAGATACGGGTTTAAATTAATTCAAATTTAAACTAAATTAAAAAAAATCCAAATAATTTTATTGAATTTGGATGATACGTATGGGATTTTAAAAAAATCCATGCCACCCATACTTAGTAGTTTCTCTAGAATGGGTACATCTGCTTCATTTAATCGGGGGAGAGAAACTAGCCCCTAGCTATTGTTTAAAAATTGACAATTTTGAAGAAACTAAATACAATTATACAAATGTATTGTTTTAAAACATATTTAAGCCCACGCGTATTATAAAGAGATTGCCAAACTAATTAAGATTAAAATAATTTAAATATATTTGTATATCACGTTGGTGTGTTTTAAAACAAGTATTTAACTTCCAAAATTATAGATGCAATAGTTTTGTGATGTGCCACTTATAACTGATGATGACAACTACTCATGAATAAAATCCAAGAGCCTCAAATTATCTTAATAAATTAATGACAGTAATTTTCATAAATAATCTCAGTCGTACATGCATTAAATGATGGATTGGACAAGCGATTAAAAACATGTTCAATAAGTTTATTTTATTTTTTCACACTCTAACAATTTTAAATTATGTAACAAAATTAGCATAGAAGGTGACTAAGAATAACTAAGTTTCCTGAAAATAGAAAGATAAAATGTACTTGGTACGTTCGATTCCATTTCAACAACTGGACCTTCAATTACTAAGACGATTACTTAAAAGCAATTAATTCAAAAAGCAAGATCTCGTCGCAAAGTCGACTTTACATAGAAGAGTTTTTTCCAGTAAGGCATCTAATACAGTATTGATAATAATAATAATAATAATAATAATAATAATAATAAGTAGTAATAATAATGTCAAAAGTAAAATATACACGGCTAGCACCGAAGGCTTGAAAAACTTCTTGATGAGGTTGTTCCTATAACATATGGAATAAAAAAAACTCCAGTTTCAAATGTCACAAAATGAACCAATTTTAGAAAAACTTGGCATCTCCACAACCAACTTTCTCTTGGCAAGAAGCCTCATCAAGAAGCCATTTCTCAAGCATAGAGAAGGGCATTATCTCAGCACCAATATCAGGCTTGTTTTCATCTTGCAAAACAGTGGCCTCAGGAGAGACGGACTGAGAGAACTGATCAGAGTTTGAGGACTCCAAAGACTGATCAAACTCAAACAGGGATTCAAAATTCTCGGACAATTCAACACTGCTCGGTCCCTTTGCTCCACTAGAAGCAGTATCAGCACCTGCTGCTGCTAAGTTGTTGAAGGAGTTCTGAGTCACAGATGAGTTAGTTCGTGAGGATTTTGGTGGGTTTTTCATCCACCCCTTCAACATGCGAGCTATGTTCTCAGCACTTGAAGCATAGCATAAAGATTGAGCTGGTTTGGTGGAAGAGAAGGAACTGCTACTGTCTGAAGGGTTTGAGTTTGATGCAGACAAACAAGATGCCTTCTCTGGGGAGAGAGCTTCACTGAGAGCTTTCTTTGCCATTTGGATATCAGTTTGGAGCCTTCTTTCCCACTGGCCTCTAGGAATTTGCCTTGAGGCTGCAAACCCTTCCCCCGAGCTACCTTCACAATCTGTTTGCAACTTCTTCAGCTTCTTTCTTAAATGGGTGTTCCAATAGTTCTTTATGTCATTATCTGTTCTCTGTGGAAGGTATGAAGCTATTGCAGCCCATCTGTAAATGTGTTCCATTTAAGTTAAGCATGCGTATCCAAAAGAACTTCCCAAATCAAAATACTTAAAATAGTTAAAAATAAATAAATCTTCAAAACTCAAAGTAAGTTATAACTTTTTTTAAAAACCTGAACATTTATCAGTAACATAATTAGTTAAATTGAACACAAAGTGTGCCCAACACAAAGACTCAAACTATGTAGGTGCTTGGAATATTCATTTTTATTACCTGTTTCCTAGAAGATCTTGAAGGTGGATTATCATCTTCTCCTCTTGTTCTGTAAAGTTACCACGTCTTATTCCTGGCCTTAGGTAATTCGTCCATCTAAGTCTACAGCTCTTACTGCATCTTGACAACCCTGAAAATAACCCCAAAACGAAAGAAATCAATTCAGATCTGAGTTAAGTAATTGTATAAAACAATGAAACCCAAATGACCAATATTTAGATCACAGTTCTATTTCAATCAGAAGCTTTTCTAAAAAATGATCTGCGAATCAAAACAAAGAACAACCAATACACAAAATCATCACACTGAGAGGAGGGCTAATTAACCTGTCTTGGTAGGAACTGCCCTCCAATTGCCAGGACCATGTTCCTGTATATAAGACACCAATATGATGTCTTCTTCAGGAGTCCAAGGCCCTTTCTTGACCCCTTCTTTGTCACAACAAGGTGGTCTTCCCATGTCTCCTTCTTGTCTTTCTCTTTTATTTCACCGCCTTTATACTTGTCCTTCTACTTTTCTGTAGCCTCTTCAGCTCTAAAGCAAAATAGGTCGTTTTCCCTTCTCTCTCTATGTGTGTGGTGGTAATATCTTCTCTTTTATTTCTCTAACCCTCTTTACTTGATAGGATCTAAAGCATGTGCCCAAGCCTAACCTTTGCTTGATGCACATTTATAGCTAAAATGAGAGGGGCTAAAGGTATGGTGGGGGGCGTGTGAGAAGCTGACTTAAACTAGTAAACGAGGAAGCCAAGTCAAAAGTTGACAGCAAGAGCATTAACTGAAGGAGTAAGGCCAAATTATTCACCTCATAGCGGGGGCAATGCCTCTATGTGGTGTACCTCTCAAAACCGCGTGGCATTCAATGTAGCTGAGCTCAATTATCTCAGCTTTAAAAGTCTATAAACCCCAGCAGACATTAAATGTTAATATGAGATAAAGCTGACTTTTGCAAAGCCTAATAAGCTATCGCCATTTATGTCTTCTTCGCCTGCTGGTGATCTCAATGAACCACCCCTTTCCACTTTTACTATCTTATCTCTAAATTAATGAATTGCATTTATATTCCAATTATAATATCATATTTCGACACTCACCATAACCAACTAAAGATATATATTATCTCTTTGCTCAAGTAGAACACTGAGTTCTACAAACCAATTTTATGTTAGGAAATTCATATTATAAGCTGCTAGAGTGCTTTATGTCGTGTTTAGATGTTAAGTTTTATGTTTATGATCCTGTTTGAGAAAAATGCATGCTTTTAAACATGTTCACGGTCGTGTCAAAGGTGGAAAAAAATAAATAAAAATACTACAACTAGGTTAAAATAGGTTGGATAACATAAAGCTTTCTTTAAATAGTTGCTATTTATTTGAAAATTTAAAGCAAAATCTAGCATGTTATTTATCATAGGCTTTCATTTCTTATACTTCAACTTATTTTTTAAAAGTCTCACTTAATCTGTTAATATAATCAAATGTTTATTTCATATTAAAAATTTTAGATAGAAGTTTCAGATTTTTAAATATGCTAATGGACAAATAGTTGGATGAATAAAACTCTATTTAAAATAAATTATAAAATATGAAAATTAAATTCATTATAATTCAAGACATGAACGAGTATGAAAATAAATTAGTTAGACACTATAAATGTCAAGTGTGACTAGTTTACGAGACTTTTATCATAATTTATTTAAAAAAACATTTTATAAATTAAAAAAAGGTTTTTATCAGGGCATAAATTTATTTTTCTGTTAGTTTATAAAATAGATTTTTATAAAAGTGGAATTATTTTATTTAATAAAAAAAGTATAGTATAACCAGACCTAATGTAAGCTAAAGCATAAATCTATGTCAGATATATTATCTGAGTTATTTCCATCATTAATTACAGCTAATGGCTCATTTCCCATCAGAAGTGAAAAACTATATTATTTATAAAATAAAAAATGGTAATAAAAAAAGGCACGGTTGCTTCATGTTTGCATAATCATTCACAGCTAACATGTTTAGAAAAATGTCATATGAAACAGGAAAGACACATTAGCTATCGAGAGTAAACAAATGCTGATCCATTCTTAAAAAAACTGATTCAAAATGTTACTTCAAAGTATGTTGAGATGTTTATCCGAGGGCAAATTCATTTCAAGGCCTGCAGGTTCATTTATTATTACATTATACATACACACAAAATTGCAAAGCTTTAGTTTGGGTAGATTTTATTTTCTTCTGAATTAACAGTACTTGTGTTGATTAATCTGTTAGCAATTAGGTAGCATTTAAGAGTGACACAATATTGATTCAAACTAATTATTGTACCAATACCAAACAAATATATTAAGGTTGAAATGAAGAACACAATAAATTTATGATCATGAATTAAGCCTTGTGAAACTTGAAAGGGTCAAGTTCTGTGCATGCATGGCCGAACAATAGATTGACTTCATCATCTTGATGCATGGACGTGGAGTGAAAACAAGTATGGGTCATGATCAACAAAGACACCTCATACTGTTTTTACTTTGAAAACATGTTCATAATTAATTCCATAAATGAGATTTGGGAGAGTTGGCACCCATACTAAGGCCCACTTCCTTAGAATGTGCTACAAGTGAGGGTACTGTGAGGGGTGGAAACCCTCCAAGTGTCTAACTTTCTAGAATACTCCGTTGCAAGTTGGAACAAAACAAGCTGCAGCAGTTATTTTCCATGATTAGTATTTGAGCACGTATGCATACGAAGTTTAATTTTAGGGTTCACATTTCTTATTTTCTGGGCTGATTTAAAATACAATGTATAAAATAAAATCAGTGTGTCCCAATGCAATGCATTGCATCCAATACGAAATCGGTTGGCAGGGATTGAAGATTCAGTGCAATTTAAAAATTATTTTTAAGATACGATTCAACCCGAGCTTAATTTATTAAAAAGTGAGATTAATTCAATAAAACTATTTCAATTTATTATTATTTTTATTCTATGTGAAAACACCTTAAGTTCCAATCATTTTGACATTGAAAAAAAAGTAAAATATTTCTAAATTTTAAAATTCAGAAAAACAAATAAAATTTTAAATTTTTATGGTGGAATCAAAGCATGTAAGCAGCTGCTGAACTAAATCCAAATAAGTAGAGTAATGAGTTCAGTCAAGAGTTTGACAAAATAAAGTGTTTCTCCATAACTTTGCCTCTCTTAGTTAAGTTACAACTTTTGGTTATCTCTGGCATATATAATAAAATTAAAATGTTAAGTAGATAAATAAGTTTTTTATTTATTTAATTATTGTGTTTATATTTACTCAGATTTATTTAGATTTAAAACCCATAAATTTGTTACTCAATCACATTCTATTATATTGAGTTCAATTAAAAACATCCAAATTAATCCAATGATTTAGCCTAACCCTAACATATAATTGGGTTGAGATTCATATGTGAATGATAACCCTCTAACACTCCTATACTTAGATAATTGAATTTCTATTATCTTTATTTTTCTCATTACTTTAATTATAGTCCTTTTTAAATTTTGTTAGGATACATATAATTAAGTAAGAATATATTTAATTTATAATTAGTTTCCTAAATATGTCTCGTATTATTAGTTAATAGTTATGTAATTAGTTGTGGTTACATCATATTTCTATCATTCTTGAAATAGAGAATGTCCAATACTCTACATAGGCGTAATTTTTTAAAATTACCGCACATTCTCGTAAGGTTCTTCATCACATTATTCCTCCTACTAATAGTAAAGAGAAGGTATTTATGACTATGGATGAAAATGAATTGTGGTAAACTCTTGATGCTAAGATTTTTTCCTGACTTTATGCAACCATCTCCAATGACCTGTTATATATAGTTATTGAATCCAATGCCACGACCATGGATGCTTGAAATAGGTTGAGATATATTTTCCAAGACAACAAACATTCTCATGTGGTGACTCTTGAGACCGAATTCTTTACTATTAAGATGGAAAATTTTCCGAATGCTTCGGCATATTGTCAACCTCTCAAGTCTCTTGCAGATCAGTGGAAAAAAAAATGTTGGAGTATCTCGTCATTCAACTTATTTCGGGTCTCACAAGTGCATATCGTGGTGTAGAGACGTTAATTCGGCAGAGTGATCCCCTACCTCCGTTTTATCATACTCGACTAATGCTCACACTTGAGGAAGCCAGATTGGCAAAGGAGCTGCCACGGGATCAGAGTCGGCAATGGTGGTTGTCTCCCAATTCTTTTATGACTCAAATTCCTTACATTCGAACCAACTACACCACCACCAGCACTGTGGGAAGTCGTTTGGATATATCAAAAATTTTGGAAAAAAATCTGGTAGCGGTGGTCGTGGGTCTGGCGATGGCAAATCTGACCATACAGGGGGCGACAACGATGGTCCGCAGCAGTTTGGTGGGAGTCCACAACAGTAGCCACAGTGGGGTCTTTACCTTGGTCGAATTATCCACCTTGGGGTTGGATGCCTCAATAAGCTCCTTCATGCCCGTATCCAAACCAGGGGTGGGCACGAGGTCGAACACCACAGAGATAGCAACAACAACCCGACGTTCTTCGGTCACGACCACAACAAGCTTACACGGCCTCTCAGAATGGGCAGTCCACTTCTGATGTTCCTACAAATATTGAAGTGGCGATGCATACTATGTCTCTAAGCCCCCCTGATCCATCATGGGGCATGGACACCAGAGCTACCTCTCACATGACATCTTCCAATGTCCGTCTTGGAGGTAATGAGAAAACTTAGCATGTTGGCATTGATTGTGGCACCCGGTAGTGATACCGGTTACGATTCACACCGTTCTTTCTATTTCTCTTTCAAAAGCATGACCCATACATTAATTAGATGTCAAAAATGTTTTTCTTCATGATGAGTTACAAGAAACACTTTATATGCATCAACCATTGGAGTATCGTGATTGTGTTCATCTGAATTATGTGAGTCGTTTGTGTAAGTCATTATATGGGCTTAAACAAGCACTCTGTGCTTGGTATAAGGAGTTTGTTGATTATGCCGTATCTCTTGGTTTCTCAATTAATAAATGTGACCACCTATTATTTATTTATTTATTTATCGAAAGGGTTCGCATATGATTTACATTTTGCTCTATGTTAATAATATTATTCTTACTGTCTCTTCTCATACTCTTCGATTATATATTATGAACCTTATGAGTTCGGAATTTGCTATGAAGTATTTTGGTCCTTTGAACTATTTTCTTGGCATTGTAGTGACCTGACATAAGGATGGTATGTTCCTTTTACAACGCAAATATGCCGAAACAATTATTGACTGGGCCGATATGTCTTCTTGCAAGTCGTCTCCAACACTGGTTGACACCAATGCTAAGGTGTGCTTATATATGCATGATCCGAGGGTAGACCATATGCAAGCTCTCAAACACGTTATCCAGTATTTACAAGGTACACTTGATCCTGGTCTTCATCTCAATTCATCTTTGACATCATCTCTTGGTTCTTATGTTGATGCTGATTGGGGTGGGTACCCTGATACGAGACGTTCTAGTTCGGTTACTGTGTGTTTTTGGGTGACAACTTGGTGTCATGGTCTTCCTAACGTCAATCTACACTCTCTCGGTCTAGTTCAGAGGTCGAGTACATGGGTGTTGCTAATGTAGTTTCTGAGTCGTGTTGACTTCAAAATTTGTTATTGGAATTGTATTGTCTGGTTACCGAAGCTACTTTTGTATATTGTGACAATATTAGTACTATTTATTTGTCGGGCAACCCGATGCAACATCAACATATCAAACATATTGAGATGGATATACATTTTGTACGGGAAAAAGTTGCACGTAGTCAGGTTTGAGTTCTTCATGTGCCTTCACGATATCTTCAGGGACATTTTTACTAAGGAACTCTCGTGTGTGTTGTTTAATAATTTTAGTAACAGTCTCAATCGTTCTCCTATTTTGACTAGGGCGGTGTGTTAAGATAAATGTAAATATATTTTGTTTTTTTTATTTTAGGTAAACATATATTTAATTTATAATTAATTTTCTAAATATATGTATGATATTATTAGTTACCTAATTAATTTTCTAAGATTACGACTTATTCATTGTATTTATTATTTTGACTAGGGCGGTGTGTTAAGATAAATATAAATATATTTTGTTATTATATTTTAGATAAACATATATTTAATTTATAATTAATTTCCTAAATATATGTATGATATTATTAGTTATCTAATTAGTTTTCTAAGATTACGACTTATTCGTTGTATTTATTACAAGACAGTGAATAATTGGAAAAAAATATTCTTTTAAATTTAATTGTCTATTTTAAGGGCACTTTGCATATGTTTAATTATTATTTTTAATTTTATAAAAGCAACAAAAACCTTTATTAATGTGAATCTGACTTTACTCGGTGCTTTACTTTAATATTGTTTCTGAAATGAGTTGGTTTTTAAATTTGGTGTCTTACCATCGTATTTTTTTTTTATGTAATATTAAAAGATTGTTTAACAAGGATAAACTTCATTTTGTAATGGTTGTCGATACAACAAATGCACCTTCTCCGATTTCCTACTGTTTATCACGTGCTATTGAACCACTTGAATCTGTATAGATATGTTCGGGTTAACCTTTACCCTTCTCATCAACCTTAAAAAGATTTTAATTGACATACATGGGATAAACTGATAGAAAAATTGAAATTGGAGTTTGACTTTTCTAGCACATTGCCTCTCTTTCATTTGTAAAACGCTTTAAATTCTAACGAATAAGTTACCAAGTAGTATTTTAAACAACTTAACTCGTTTTGAGGTGCAGTTTCCATGTTTAATAGTGGAAAAATGGATTTAATTCAGACCTAGAGGTATTTCTTCATTGGCTATAATACTACTCACAGAGTGTATAGATGCATGAGTTTATAGAGAATTTATACTAGATAAGTTATCTGTAATGAAACTTATTATCCTTTTAAAACTGATTTCCTCAACAAGAAATAGGTACCATTTACAAATTAATCGTATCTATTCTTTCAGTCTAATGATATATATGTAGCAATATGGACAGAGTCCAACACTAGAAGACAAAGGTTTGAGATAGTTGAAGAATATACCTTACGTGACTGAGTACTATTATAAGTTTGAACCAACCCCAACTAACACTCCAATACAAATTAATTATTCATAAACTTGTTGATCACACCATTGTTGAGTCATGAATCCCTAGTACTCACCATAGATTCAATACTGAACCAGCAAGTAGTAAAGACAACAATGGGAACACAACAGAAATTTATTTCAATATCATAACTGACCATTCAAAGAAATAGTCTAATCTCCATTCTCAAGCATCCATTTGCTGGTTTAAACCGTATTAATGATGAAAAAAAATTTCAAGACTTGAAACGAAATTACTCCTAGAACCTAGTCCATTTTGACAACTAGTACAGTGTGGTCAATCCAAAATGGGGTTTTCAAGAACAAGTATAAGGGAAGGTTGACTGCAAAAGAATGCTCAAACTAGATCTCGGCTTTGATCTTGGTGAAGCCTTCAATGAAATCAGTATCTGATAGATTAGTCTTAAGCATTGCTATTCATTTTAATCAGGATATACGACGATTAATCAGCATTAATGTCTTCCTAAACAGTATCTCGATGAAACAATATCCATGCATGTCTACTCAGCCTAAATAATTTGAGCTTCAAAGACTATACTACATTCATGCATGGACTGAAAATAGTATGAAAAATCTTTGTTAACAACAATGTAAAATACAAATTGGGGACTGATAAATCCTTTTTTGCTAACAACTTGAATAAAATAACTTCCTTAAAGGACACATAAATTGTAGGTTGCCCCTTGTGGATGAGTATAAGGATGAAACTAGGTTTCCACAACATTACTGACGTTGTGAAGAAGTTATGACATGGAAAAGCCACATCCAGGTCCAACACAAACGGTTACAGACATCAATTCTTTCTCAAATATGGTGAATGTATTGAAGCGCCATTGGAGCACTCAGCTCAATTCTTGACTACAACAAATCCGAGTATATCTTTCTCGGTTAACACCACCTAATTCAATACTTATCAGACATCCCCCAAAGTGCAATTATGAGGGCATTTAATGGGAGTTTTTGTTATATCAAAGATACACTAATTGCATATTAATGAATTTTAATGGGGAGTTTAACTTGTTTCACTCATGTAGATTAATTTTGTTAATTATGGATTTAAGTTATCAACTTAGCATTAGCCAACCCAGTGGTGTGACTAACAAAGCGCATGTAGTTTAGTTGCATTAATTGGAATATGTCCCGTACTTGTAGTAGGCGCATAGAAATAATAAAACTATTAGTATTTTAAAAATCTTATAACAAAACATATCTTGAAACAAATCCCTATCTTGGATAAGACACTCATGTACACTAAATTATTTTTATTAAATCTAATATAAATATGTTAAACTCAAGTTTTATGTTTTTTTTTTTTTAAATCATATGAGACAGAAAATTACTAAAACTTAACTTGATCTAAATACGGTCATTCCAACTAATAAATTAGCAAGAGATTTGATTCCATTGCTATCAAAATATTAAAGACGATGAACATGAAGGTTTTCCGATAATGATGACAATCTTAAATTCATGCTATTAAAACAGGTGTCTAATCCCAACAATATATAACACCAATAATATTATGGTTAGGACTAAGCAAGTTGCGCCTTCTTCCATCAAGGTACTCAAAGTTTAACAATTATTAAACTTTTCTTAACTTCACACATTAAACATATTTTATTGTATCATATGGATAACAACATTGATGAACTTGATATTAAAAAATAATTATTGTAAAAAAATCAGTTATGGGAGAAAGTAGTTGGCTAAATGAATTTTAGAAATGTGAGAGTGATTTCTGTATTTTTGTTCCTTTTCATTATGTTCTACCCGCTTTCTCAAATCATGTTCACCAGTTCCTACCTAAATATTTATTCAACCTTTTACGTTGTCTAGCATTTAAATCTGCATCCAACCGATTGATGGTGAACCTGAGCATTGATCGAGAATATATAAATCATAATAAATCTTTCCTTTCATCTTTTTTTCTACAATACAGTCACATACATATCTATGATACTTGTGGTGGTTGCTTCTCCCTCATAAGTTTTATATTTTACATGTCTAAATTTAGTTTGGGCTAATTAGAATTTTTATTTGCCATGTATCAAGACAAACTATTTTCTATACATCGAATTTGAGTGTGAATATACCAAGTTGTTGACAGAACGAAAAAATATATATATAGCAGAAGGTGAATATAATGATGCAGAAGCTGTGTTTCCCCGCAACCCATCATCCACCAGACACAGACCTACCATTCTCCATCTAAACTGTGCTTCTTCTCTATATTAAATGAAAAAGGTAACATCTTGTATTCCAATATTATATAACTTTGTTAAATATTTTTTGGTGAATTTTATTTAAGTGTTACCGGTTAATTTAATCAATTAATATAACCCTTTTATAATAAATGACTATATTGAATTTGAAATAAGGCAATGGAATAGAGTAATTTATTACTTTAATTATTATAAAGTAACTAAAATTTCAGTAGTTACGTTAAAATTTAACTTTTAAAAAGGTGTTATTTTTGTTTTTTAATAATACTCTATTCCATTTATCCCTAATAATATTTAGGATGGATAACAAAGGCTAAAAGAAAATTAATAATAATGAGATTGATTTTGTTAATTTTTACTCTCTTTAATCTTTTATTAGTTTTTCCTGGTCTATGAAAATTGTTGACGAAAGGAGTAAATTATTTTGATGTGTACCTCTGGTAGAAATTTAGTATTATTACTATTTATGGATCTCTATGGTAATTGTTTTTACTCTCTCGTGTAATCAATTGCTAGGCACAAGAAATCAATTTTCACCTCTCTAGAGTATTTGCATACAACACCAAGAAATCTATTACATAGGATATAAAATATAAAATGTAATTTATTAATGATGTGTTATATAGACATTACACACATTATTCAGAGAATACTCAAATGAATTACTTGCCTAATTGAATAATTATAAGAGAGATGATGAGTTATCAAAAATATTTTTACAATTGTGAATCATATTAACTATTTAGAGAGGAAATTGAAAACTAAATACAACTATCCAAAATTCTAAACCTGGATACTGAATGAATTATAACTCAAATAGATATGTCGTGAAAAAAAAAAAAAAAAAAGGCAGAAAGGTTTCGGCCTTTTGGGCCATAGGGCCCAGCCATATAGCTTGTTATTGTTCAGTTTTAAAAAGTTTATGATCGAACTACATTATTTCCTCCGTTTGTATCAATATCTTATAAGTTGAGAAGAGGAATGCTAAAATATTTAATCTTAGATTAATTCATGTCATGGAGTTATTTTGTTTCTTGGTTTTAAAATTATCATGTGGCGAACTGTTAAAATCAAACCCTAGTGATGCTGGTTGTTTTTAAATTTTTTTTATTGAATTTAAAGTATTATTCTATATAATAATTTCATTTTTTAAGAAGAAAAAAGTAAATTATAACTAAATCAATTATTTATATTATAGTTTTATTACTTAATAGGCTAAGTGTTAATATACTAATATATTTTAAATTTAAATTCAAACACAGTGTCAATGTATTACGATAGCTAGTAGATTACTAGAAAGTTCGGTGGAGTAAATAACATTAAATGGTTAGATGGTCATAACCAACATTGGTTTGATTTAGGGGCATTTTCTGAAAGTCACTAAAATCCAGGCATTGTTTTAATGGATATTTTTTTCAAGTTCAAATGTTATTTTATATTTCAAAAGTTAAATTTTATATTTTGTCTCTATAGTTTTTAATTCTTGTAACTTTTAAAAAAATTTTGTTCTTATTATTTTAGTCTCTCTAAAATATTGTATTTCCTTTTGTCCTTATAATATGTAGATTATTATTTTTAGAGCCTATCCAATAATTTTTTAAGGGACTAATTTACAATGAAAAATATTATAAGAAATAAAAAAAATTATTTTTTACATAATAAACCAAAACATAGATCAAATTAATGGACGGATTGAATATAAACTCTCCAAAAGTAACTGTAAGTATAATTTAAACATTAGTAATTCATTTTCAAATTTCACAAAAAATTGAGACATTTATTCAATTACACTTATTTTTTCTTCTATTGGTCTATTTTTGGAATTGTATTTACTTCTTCTTTTTTCTTAAAAATGTAGTTTAAAAATAATAGTAAATGCTATAAGTCACCGTCTTATAAATCCATTTTGGGAAGGAACATACTTTACGTAACAAAAATTCACAAGTTTTATTTATTTTCCAAACCAATTGAAGTGCTATAAATGATGCAGTGAAAAACTATAGCTCGGCGTTTTAAATAGCTGTAACTTTTTAAGTTGACTTTATTTCAAGTTTTGATAATTTTTTAAATATTGAAAACATATTGATTACTTTTTTGTTACAAATGTATACACGTGTGCGAATTCTGTTCCCGAGAAAGATCTGCACTTGGATAATTTTATCATGAAACGAATATAAAAACATAAGTTAGATTAATCAAACAAACAGACGAAGGAATAGAGAAAACGAAAGCATTTAAATCAGGAGATAAGAGAGAAAGAAAATGAATCTTGAAAAAGAAATTGTTTATAAATAAAAAATACATAAATAAATAACGTTGTTCACTTATCTTAAAAGAATATATAGAGAAAAAATTATCACGAATTAAATAGTTATTTCAACTTATAAATATAGAAGAGTAAACAATTCTCCCAAAAGAAACCAGTATAGTTCAGTTTTAATTGAGAGAAAAAAATTATAAGAAATCAAATATATTAAAAAAAGAAAAAAGAAAAAGTCCTATTCTAATTTATAGATGAATGTTATTATTTATTTATTTATTTCTAGATAAAGCAACATACCAACACAAAGTTTACTATGCCGTTGTTTCCAACCACATAAAAAAACCTAAAAAAAAATATCATCTAGAAATAATAACGTTGATTTATATTATTAATTTCCATATTCAGCACAAAAAAAAATCCAGCTTCTTTGTCTTTTCCTTTCATGATATACAGTTCTTATGTTCTGTTTGTAGCAAATAAAAATATTATTCTTATTAATATATTATTATTAATAAGTCCTGTAAGGTGTGAAAAGTTGACCTATTTAGAGCTATATTATGTTACGAGGAAGAAAAGTATTTGTGACTTCTGTTGAAGTTTTTGTGTAGCTAAGTTGTATTACTATTGGGTTTGAACCGACCAATATTTTTATCTCTTGGGAACAAAGATTCTTCGCGTGAAACCAAAGTCAAGCACGAAACACGGTTTCAAGAAGAACCGTGTGTGTAACAGTGATATTATTCTTAATTGTTTTTCCAACAAAAATATGGTTACTTGGCTCAGAGAATAAAGAAACCAATATATACGAACGTGATTTTACTTTATATTTCAACTGCGGCATAGTTAGAGCAACTTGTGATAATTTGCTTCAAATCTCGTGTTTTTTAATTTGCATCTTTTCTTTGCAAGACCTTTTAAAAATGAAGCACTAGTAGCGAGTTTGTTTTAGAAAAATCAACGATTGGATTTGAAGGTATGAATTCAGTTTAAGCTTCATAAGATAAACCCTCCAAAGAAGGTTACACAATAGTTCATTTGATATCAAGGAATCACAATTTTCAATTAATTATTACTGAGAGATAAATTTCTATTGAGATCCATGATCACTTATTCTATTATTAAAAATATTATTTTTCGACCTAAACAATCAATTAAACATCTTCATTTTATGATATATATATATATATATATATATATATATATATATATATATATATATATATATATACACACACACACACACGAAAGTTTACAACTACATTTTTTTAAATTATTAGTAAGTATTTGATTTTTTTTATTTTACATATTTAATCTTATATATTTAAAGTTTTATCTTGCAATCAACCATTCACACAAACAATATTATAAGAAAAACCCATTGATTTAAAATAAAAGCAAAAGCTTGCCAAATTCTATAAGTGGAAAAACCCATTAATTGTAACATTTTAGATAAACATCATTCACAATATTTGTATTCCATTTTTAGCAAAAAGTTTTAAATAAATGTAAAACGGGATAAAGAAAAAAATATATTTCCAACTACATTAAAATATCAAATGTTATGGAAAAATTTATAATAAAATAATTTAATCAACTGTATTGAACATGAAACTTCAATTGAAAACTTGATAAAAAAGTCATCAAAACAAATTTATTACTTCCTTTATTTTAAAATATAAGACCGTTAAGATTTTGCTAGATAAATTAATTTAAGTATTATTTTTTATTATTTTCAATAAACTTATTAGTTTTTTTTTCATCGATCGATTAATTCAAATACTCTTACGTATCTTATTATCTCTTTTATTTATAATAAATATAATTAAAAATAAAAATATAATTGATAAAAAATAATTAATACAAATTTGAATTTTCTAAAAGTCTTATATTTAAAATTATTTTTTTTACCAAAAATGCTATATATTTTAAAATAATAACCATCATATCATTCTTAATTTTTTTTAAAGACATTCAAATATATAGTACAAAACATGATCGTATGTTTTAATTATTATTATTATTATTATTATTATTATTATTATTATCTTGTCTTTATTTTTTTTTTTGTACTCTATATGATGCTTGATATCCAACTAATAATTGGAAGCACTAATAAATTTGAAGATATATGTATGTACGTGGTTGAAAGAAACTTGTGTGGAAGTTCCCAACTAAACCTACACAATGCCATATCAATTAATTTATATATAATCAAGTATTACGTTAATAATTTGGCTAAATTTTTGAAAAAAATACAAAAAATATTAATAATAAATGAGAAAAAAATTGCCGCATTTGAAACTTAAATAACAAAATCATATAATTATAATACCTGAAATATAAAAAAATATATTAATTTTATAAATAAAATTAAAATACACAGTGTTACTCTTTTCAATTAAATATTTAATTTTAATTTGGTTTCTAACTTAAGTTTTATGTTTTGAATCTTCATATATTATAATCTCGTTTGGATAATTATTTTTTTAAGCAACTATGTATTAGTGGGTTGGCATCATCATTTAAACAAGTATAATAAATAAAAATGTACGGAATATAAACTATTATTTTATTTGTAATATATTTTACGTAAAAAACATGCTATTAAATTATTAATTTTGACTCTAATTTTAAAAATTACATTCCCGCTTTACCAAAAGATTAAGTTTTGGGATTTATGGTTTTCATTTTAATATAAATACAACGTTAATCAGAGCAAACGTGTATTTATGGTTTTTTTGTTTTTTTTTTTTGTTTTTCTAAAATCTTATGTTTAAATAGGAGGAAACAATTTGTCTTATGTTTAAATAAAAAGTTGATTTTTTTTTCTCAATTTAAATTTTTAAAATTTTCCTTTTCTCTCCAAGTCACTCACCTAGATTGTATATTTATTATTATTATTATTATTATTATTATTATTATTATTATTATTTTAATATTAAAAAAAATAATAACATATTTCATAATACATGAAAAAGGATACATAACTTCATAAAGATGAATTTCATGAGATTCAAGGTGGTCTCAAAATTAATATACAGATTTATGTTTATGAATTTGACAAAACACTGTCAACATTACTATATAAATTGCTGTTAGAATTAAACAATAGTTACAAAATAACTTTTTTTTAGTCATGCAAAAATGCGAATAATATAACATCAGATTTTCTTAATTTTTTGCCCGTCATTAAATTGTTTTTCTTCCCTCAAAAGGAAGTTCAAAGAATCACAAAGGAAAAGAAGTTTATCCTTCACCATTTATATGATTTCTATATTGGTGGGGTTCGTGCCAACTGCATTCATTTACAGCATGCAACCAGATTCAATTTCATCTATCATTTTCATGTCTCTGTATGGAAACTATGGTTAACTTTTAACCTAACCTCACATTTTTATTATGTCGAAAAGTAAAAAAAATTATTTATCACCATTTTGGATATACAAATAATTACATCACAGTCACTATCAGAAGGATAGAAATAAATTTCACTTACCGATTATATCAATACTCGAACATTAAACTGGATTAATCAAAATAATAAAAAACTGAAAATAGTTGCTAAATTAGTCAAACCCTTATTTAATATATACAAAAAAAATTATATTCTTGACAATTTCAAGCAAACAAATTTAACCATTTTTTTAAAAAGAATAACAAAAATATTATATTATAGGAAAGTGAGAATCGTACAATTCTATAAACCAAACTAGACTATATGGTCGTTTTCCCTTAGCCACACTTCCTTGAATTGTCTTCCTACCATTAAATTTCTCACAGAAAATAAGAGTGGTTACAATTTTCATGCCTTATAAATGTTGAAACCTTTTTGTATTCACAAAGTTAACGTAACATTCAAGATATCAGAAGTAAAAACATATAAATTTAATGACATTTAACAGTAATTGAATTTAATTAAAATACTCACCCCTCTATATATACATATATATATGACAAATTTATCTAATAATATATATAATAAGTTATTTGATTAAATATATATACACATACTCTACAATAGCTATGCATATAAATTAAAATGGTAAAAACATCCTGTGAGAAGATATAATTTTAATTTTAGTTATGGCAAAAAAAAAAATTTCTCATTAAAAATATGAAATTAAAAGAATGTTAAATTATTATGTGTTAATACATGATACTTCAAAAGATATTTTAACTTTTGGAATAAAAATTATATTGGTTTATTTATTTGTTAAAGATGAAAGAAAAAAAAAAGTTATACATAAACCAGAACTAGAATTTGTTTATTTTACATCAACAAAAGAACAATTTTAAAATTAGAAAAAAAAAATATTGGAGACATCAAAATAAGAACTTAGCTTAAACACATACATTACCATTATAGTACTACCAAAAGCAAATACTTACATAGAAAAGTGCAATAGAATAAGACCTTGGTTCAAATATAGGTATTTGGTTTTTTCCATTATGAAACTGCACTAGAATGAGACGTAAACTTTCAATTTAACCCAGCCTTTGAATTCTCTCTGCTGAACCGAACCAAATCCTATAAAAGAGAATTCACAACAGACCCGGAATCATGGTAACAGCGGTTCACATAACCAGAATCCCATGGTTCTAAGCATCCGAAAGATTAGCTCAAACACAAGTCGCTGGCATGTTCTTTTCTCCCTTCTCTTATGAATGAATTAGGTAACACTTCACCCTCTGCTGAATCGGATTCGCATGTGAAAAACTTCTCCCAGAGTTTGCACGTACATCTTTATCCCTGCGGGTGTAAAGTCTCATTCCTGTGAAACTTTTCAAAGTTAAAATCAGAGTTGCATGACCCTCCCCTGATTTCCTTTCCTCTGTTTTGCTTCAAAAGGAATGAACACGCTTGTGGAGTGATTTCACTCCCTCAATGAGATTTGCGTGAAAAACCCACTTCCCTTTCGGTGAGCATGGGTTCGCTGGAAGGTCTTCTTCACCGGAAATGGATAATTTTACGGAGTATTTTTCGGAATTTTTCTCCAGGCTTTTGAATACTCTGTTTGGGGTATTCACCAATGTCATCATGAGGTATTGGATCTTCAATTTTAGAATGTGAATTCTACCAATAGTACAATAAATGATATACTCAATAGCCACTTTATTCAATCTCACTACCTTTTGTTTTTTCTTTATATTTTTGGTTTCAGATTCTGTTGTTCTGATTCTTCAAAAGCAATGAATGATTTTTCTAAAGAAATGAATCCGCTTTGTTCTTCTCAGTTTTCACCTGACAAAGAGCAAGCTGCGTCAATTCATTCTGATCCTGAAAGTTTTGTGTCTCTAGCCGATACTCTCTCATGTGAAAGTGATCAAAATGATTCCAATGATTGCCAGGGAGGAGCAAAGTCCACGGAAAAATGTTGTTCTGAAACTCTTCGTGACAGTGAGACTTTTGGGCCTGAAGAAGAGGAAACGACGAAGTTAGTTTTCAAATTTGAATATCAAAAGTGGAATTGCAATTATAATGAAGAATTCAGAGGAGCGTATGGTGAAAGTAGTGATTTTGTGAAGGGGAGTGATGCTGTTTCTGCCAGCACAACCAGTAAGTATGAGTTCATGTCAGGCAAGAGTTTTAGTCACTTCTTGGATGAACCTCGGGCTGGAAATTTCACTGTCAAAGAATGTTTTGTTCATTCAAACGATGCTTTTAAATCAGGAAATAATGTTAGCAATGATTTTGAGTTCTTGTCAAGTAGGAAATTTTTGCCAGAAAAATGTGAAGAAGGGGTTAGTGAAGAAAATCTTGACAATTCCACAGTTAATATGTTCAAAGCTGAACATCCCGTCGAGCCAATTGTTCACAATGTTCTGCCTGAAGATGATTTTATTTGTTCAAGTTCGGACGCAGATTCTATTATCAGTTCTTTGGGGGAGGGATTTTTGTCAGAAGCAGATTTTGGAAAAACTTTGGAGTATGAGACATTGGGAATCAATGCAGAAGAAAATGCAGTTCAAACAGAAGAGAATTTGGAATTTGGGGATGAGAGAAGCTATGAGAATTTCGATGTTGGATATGAGCCTGATGATTTTACTGAAGAGGATGAAGATATAATGGATGAACTTGGAAAATTGGAAGAAGAATGTAGGCTAGAGGAATCTTCAGGAAAAAGTTTCGAAAATAAACATAGCATCAATTCCAAGCCTGAACAGTCTATGAAGCCTATTTCACAAACTTTAACAACTATTGATCTTGAGGATTCCAACCGGTTTGACACACTGTGGGAACATCAAGATTTGATAGAACAGTTGAAGATGGAATTGAAGAAGGTCAGAGCCACTGGCCTACCTACCATCCTTGAGGATTCTGAGTCTCCAAGGATAATGGAAGACTTAAAGCCATGGAAAATTGATGAAAAATTACAGCATGGTAGCACTACGAATGAGCTTCCAAAATTCTACAGGAGTTATAGAGAACGAATGCGAAAATTCGATATCTTGAATTACCAAAAGATGTATGCAATAGGTCAGTTTTTTTTTTTGTCCATTATCTCATCTTTGATTTTCTTTTCTGCAGCTGTTTTTCCTTTTTTGTTTGTTAAATTGCTCTTTACTTATTTGTTCAAAGTTAGTGTGCTTAGTGGATGAACAATTTCATTTAATTTAGATTAGCATCAAGACCTACCTCATCTAAATCATTAAAAATAGAGGTAAGGACCCTCTTAATCTGGTAACCTAGGCAAAAGGAAGCATGAATTACCCAAATACATAGCAGTTGAGTGAATAATTACACACAACTAAGCCTTACTTCTTTTTTTCCTTTTTCTGGTTGATTTTCTTTATGGTAGGGAATGCTCACCTTTAAATATAGTTTTCGTATATTCGTACGCTTCATTTTTCTTTATTTTGTCATTACAAGGAAGAAATGTTGGATTGGGGTTTTTTATGCCACATGCTTTTGGTCTGCTTTGCACCTATTAATGCTATAGCAGAATATCCACCAGCCATGATCCTAGAAGTTTACACTTTCCCCAAAAAGAGAGGCATGAGTGTTAGGATTCTTCCTTGTTTCATAGCTCTAATAAGTATTTAACAAATTCGCACAAAGCTGCCCACTTCATTTACATTTAACTAAATGATCATATCTAAAAGATTCGTAAACATTAAATATGCAATTCCTATTTTTCTTCCTAACAATTGGACATTTTTCTTATTGTGGCTAACTTCTTCCTAATTTCCAAAAGAAACCAGTCCCTACAATGATCTAGCACTGATTGTAATGCTCCACCCAATGTTTCTGTCTGTCTTTTAGTTTCTTATCTCTTTCTGTAAACAACTCTTACTATGCAAGACAAGTTAGGAACGGTATTATCTAGGAAGTTGTTATACTTAATATAATCTTCATGACCCTTTGCATTATGCTTAATAATGAAGATTCCAATCATAGTCACAGCACATTCCTTAAGTTTCTTGGAAATTGTAGGTGTTTTGCAGTCAAAGGACCCACTCCAGTCATTTTCAACCCGTAAGAACCCTTCACCGGCATTCACAAACATTCTTCCACGCGGCTTTCGCCTTTCTAGACGAAAACAAACAGAAGCTGACCCAATGAAGAAGTTCATGAGAGAATTATACAGTGACTTGGAAATGGTGTATGTGGGGCAGTTGTGCCTTTCTTGGGAATTCCTTCAATGGGAATATGAGAAGGCCTTGAAGCTATGGGAATCTGACCAATACGGGTTACTAAGATTCAATGAAGTAGCAGGGGAGTTTCAACAATTCCAAGTGCTTCTCCAAAGGTTTATAGAGAACGAACCTTTCCTCCATGGTCCACGGGTTGAAAACTATGCCAGGAATCGTTGTGCAATGCGCAATCTTCTGCAAGTTCCAGTAATAAGAGGTGAGAACTTTTTAATTAGCATATGAATTTGCTTAGTGTGTTAATTCAAAAGTTGAATTTGGTAGCTACCTTTTTTCATGCCCACTTTCTCATGTGGGGGGGACCATATAAAGTTTCATACAAGAGACAAAAAAGTTCCTCATGGTTATAGAATCTTAATTGGATGCAGAAGACAACGCCAAGGAAAAAAGGAAATTCAGTAAAAGAGAGTCAGATAAAGACGCAATCACAAGTGACATGCTAGTGGAGATTTTGGAAGAATCCATCAGAACAATTTGGCGTTTTATAAGAGCTGATAAAGATGCATCTGGCTTAGCTCTTAAAGGTCCAAGAGAAAATCGAGTAGAGCTCCAAGACCCTTCAAATTCAGAGCTTTTGGATGAGATTCGAACAGATCTTCAAAAGGTATCAAAAGTTTCAATAGTCACTTTCTTAATGTCAAATATAATCGACTTTCTTCTTTGAAAGAAAGTGTTGTGTTGATATTTTGTGTTTGCATTTTGCAGAAGGAAAAGAGATTGAGAGAGCTTTTGAGGAGTGAAAGCTGCATACTGAAGAAGTTCAAAAAGCATCACGAAGAAGGGGCAGATCAAGTGCTTTACTTTTTCTCTCAAGTGGACATGAAATTGGTTTTGAGAATTTTGAACATGTCAAGGATAACGACGGATCAACTAGCGTGGTGTCGTAGTAAACTAAACAAGATCAATTTTGTAAACCGAAGGATACACGTAGAACCATCATTTTTACTTTTTCCTACTTCATAGGTCATTGCAAAAGATATGTATATATATATGACTTCACATATTTAGAACGTTCATTATTAAAATAGTAAAATTTTTTTCCATATTATGCTACCTACATTCATTTTTTTTTCTTTTCCATAAATATATTTTATAAATTTTGTGTATTTCCTCACTTGATAATATTGTTAAAGTTAGGCTCCATCACCAATTTCCCTCTAATTCAACACTTTTTGTTAAATGCAAGTATTTATAATATTATTTTTCCTTAGAAAAAATATACTTTGATAACTTATTTTTTCCCATAGAATGTGAAATAACACTTTTATGTAATATAATATAATATAATAATAATAATAATAATAACAATAATTTTAGTATTATGTATTTTCATTATAATAAGAAGATTGTTATATTGTTGTGTATGAAAAAAAAATATAAACATAATCTCTTCTCCTTATTATTGTCTCCTATTCTTTTGCCTATTTTTAATTTTTGAGGACTTAAATAATAGAACAATGTTTAAGCGGCAAAACCAAATTCAGAAAATTTATTCAGAACTCAAAACATATGAAAATACATGCATCGAATTCCTTCATAATAATTGATAAAAACTAAAATAAATCCAAACTAAAAAAAATAATTTGTTTGTGGATCGAATTGTCACCAAAATATGTCTTTTATAATTACATTAATTAAATTAAAACGTTTGATAATAAAATTGTTTAAAAGGTTTTCTCCGTTAAATAAGTTTTTTTTTTCTGGAAAAAATTTATGGATTTCACAGTTCAAAATATTTTTTTAAATTATATCCTTGTATTTTATATAATAATATACTTTACATTTATACTTTTAAAATAAAATAAAAATTAAAACTGGATTAAAAAATATTACATGTATTAAAATCTACATAAGACAAAAATTACACAAATTTCTATATTAGCAGAATGGATGAAATTCATTGCATTAAAATGTTTTAAGATCACATTTAATTATCCTTAAAAACAATTCACATTTAATTTACATTTTTAAAAATTTAATATAATTTAAAGAAATATTCTAAAGTTATAACTATGTTCTTACCAATAATCTTATGCAACAAAAAAATATAAGTTAGTTGCCTGGGAAAATTTAACTTGGGCCGTACATTTCCAAATCTCATAAGCCCGCTAAAAAGATGGAATGAGTAAGCATTTAGACTGTGCTCAGTTTGTAAGAGGCCCAACCCAACTAACCAATTAGATTTAGGGTTTGGAGAGAAGCCTCCATTTATAAAACATATAGACACGCTTCCATACCCTAGTTCGTGTCGTCTAGGTTTCACTCACGTTAACCAAAAAAAATGGTGCAGAGGCTCACATATCGCAAGCGCCACAGCTATGCCACCAAATCGAACCAGCACCGGGTTGTGAAAACCCCTGGTATGTGTCCTCTTTTATTCTTTTCTTATGTATGTTTTCTTTCCTATTTGTCTGTTTTGTTCTGATCTCATTTGTGTTCCTTCACTTGTTGTCAAAATTTGGTTTTGTTATTGCTGCTTGGTATTTTAACAAATGGGTATGCATCAGGTGGTAAGTTGGTGTACCAGAGCACTAAGAAGAGGGCAAGTGGACCCAAGTGCCCTGTCACTGGGAAGAAGATCCAAGGGGTATGTATTATGTGCTAATGTTGCTTTTTCCTTATGCCCTTTGAAGAGTAAGGAACAGTGATTAATTGTCAATAATATAATTTAGGAAAATGATATTTTGTGGAGAATGTATAAGCTTGGGAAATTATATATAGAGGGAGATGTTGTGGGTGAATTTGTTTATGATGTGTCCTTTTAAATAGGTTCAACGGAAAATTTCAAGGGTTGTTCTTTATTTTTCCTGGCATTTTTGGTTGGGTACCTAATCGTTCATAAGATTATGTCTTTTTGGCTACGTGTATGTGTCTATATTGGCTACGTGTATGTGTCTATATGTGTAGGAATTGATTATGAGGTATCGTGGGATTGATTGTATTTTTTTTTTTTTATGATTTATATCAGTTATCTGATTGAATGCGTTGTTGTTTATTAGTCTCATAAGGAGGAGTCATGGATGCTGTAATTGTCGTGTTTTTGGTGTGTGTTGGCGACATTAATTCTTAATTAAGTAAATTCAGCAAATGCATACTTGAATGAGTTTAAATGCTTCTGAGATAAATGTTCATTTGTTTCTGTGCTGTTCTTTCCCTCTTTCTTTTTTACTAAGAGGGTGTTTCGAAAGGCTTGTTTGAGCTTTTAAAAGTGGTTTACAACTTACCCACAATTTTTTTTTTCCCAATAAGCTTTATAGAGAAGCTTGAAATATTCTATTTCAGGATTATTATAGTAAGCGTTACAATCAATATCATGAATGAGATCATTTCAATGATTTAATATGAACTCAAAGAGCTTATTTACACAGCTTATCTTGTGGAGGTGTTTGGGAGGGTTTGGCTTATGCATAACCTATTTCCAGTTTATTTCAATAAACGCTCTAGGATACCTTGTGAAAGCTAATTGTAAGCAAAAGCTTTAATGATAAACACTTAAGGGTAACAAATTTATTGAGTGCTTATTGAATTAGTGAATAATCATGTAACTGCTGCTATGCAAGTTGTTCTTATAATCAAAGAGAAAATAGAGTTAAATTGTCTCGTATAAATTGTAAGCTGCTTTCACAAGTAACCCTTAGAGCTAGTTGAAACAAACTGAAAATAGTCTTTGAACTTATGGGCCCATTGTACCTTTTTTTTTCACAAGCTTTCCCAATCATTTTCGTGTGTGATAATGTCAAATTCATTTAAAGTGTGAATAAGTAATTCTTTATTTGATAAGTTCTTAATCAACCAATTTATCCGAATGTACCATGAGTGTTTTGATTAAGTTGTTTGTCTAGACTCATCCTACGTAGTGATGAGCAGTATGCCTTCTAATCTAATGGTCCTGTCTTAATCTGCAGATCCCACACTTGAGACCTGCTGAATACAAGAGGTCTAGATTGTCTAGGAATCGGCGAACAGTAAACCGGGCCTATGGAGGTGTTTTATCTGGAGGAGCTGTTAGAGAAAGGTATCATGCTCAGAAAATCATTAGCTGATTATTTTTGAATTTTTCTCTTTTGAGGTAAATTTAACAGCTATTTAATCTTGTTATAGGATTATTCGTGCTTTCCTTGTTGAAGAGCAGAAAATTGTGAAAAAGGTATTGAAGATTCAGAAGGCAAAAGAAAAGCAGGCATCGAAGAGTTAAGCTGATGAGTGATTCATGAATGAAAAAATATCTTGTCGTTAAGATTGTTCTAAAGAATTTTGACTTTGAATGGTGTTAACCATGAATGTGGAACTTAATTTGAAATTGATTTTATGATTCTTGTGTCCTTTTGCTAGCTTACATCTATGATATGAAATCATTTAAATGTTCTATAAATGTATTATTATGATCTCAGGAAGAGAACATTTGAGATTCTCTTTTGTTGAAATATGATGTGAGTTTAAAAATATTTAATGAAATTAAAATTGCAAATATTCTGAGCAGGGAATAAGGATCTCCACAACAATGAAATTTGATGTAGTAAGTTTTTTAGATTTGGATTGATTTAGATTTTCTAAATCTAGTATGTACAAATTTAAGCACTCAGGTAAAAAACAATTTCATACGGTTTGGGGTGGTATAACATGTAAAAAAAAACAATTTGATGTATGTGTCATCCAACACGGTTATCTTAACACTTTAATAAACGATATATTTAAATAGGAATGTTTTTTTCTCTGGGATGCCAAATTGATTTTTCTTATATTGAAAACAGAAGTATTGAATTTTTTGAGCATTAAATAATAAAATGTACATCGGCAACGAATATTTTTTATTCATCGATAGGTACTTATTTAATTTTATATTTTCATCTTAGATAAAATCGAAAGGTATTTCCTTAGAATGTTATTGGACTTATGCTATGTTCATTACTCGTTCGGTGCAAGCATACGCGATAATATAGATAAACCAACAACATAAAGGTTAAGTTTTATGAAAACGGAAACTAAGAAAGTTTGGCATTGTATGTATAGTTTTATGTAGCCACGATGAGGTAGTGTATAAATATAAGATCAATTCTTACTATTAAATTATTATCAATTCTTAAGTGATGTAAATTTATAAATGTGTTCAAATATAGTCTCCTAATTAAAGATTAAAATATATGAGTGGAATGAGACTATATTCTCGACTTGTTAGTCTCCTAGTTAAAAACTAAAAGGTATGGAAGGAGTGAGACTATGCTCTCAACTTTAAAGGATATCAATGTTCCATCTAAGAATGATAATGTCCTAGTCTTATTAACTATGATAAGTTTCATTTATGAACGATAAGGTCCTAGTCTAATAAAAACGATAATGTCCTAGTCTCATCAACTATGATAACATCATCATTAAGATAAATTCTCATTTGAAATATTGTCCACTTTGGAGTTTTAGTCAATTATGATTTTATCCTTAAAGAAGACTTCTATGAAAGATGGTGTAAATAAACTATCATTAACCTTGACTTCTAAACAATATGATTCATAAGCGTATCGAAACATAGTCTTCCAAGTAAACATTAAGGGATATGATTTAAATAAGACTATACTCTCAACCTCATGGAAGACATTAATGTTTCGTTTAAGAACGAGAGTATCTTAACCCATGTCTGTTACGATATTATCTTTAGGGTCAATTCCCATATTCAAGATATTGTCTGCTTTGAAATTATAGTCTGCCACGAATTTGTCTAAAAGCTGTTGAACGTCGAAGTGTCTTTTGTAGGTAGACCTTTGCTCTTTCCAAAAGAAACTATTTGCAATCATTTTGAAATCACAACTCGAAATATAACCTACCGATCTTTTCAATCTAACCTCATGTCCCCTTGTCGACCTCGACTAATCTAATAAGAACATTTGACACCCACCGTGAGATCAAGAATATAATCTCGCTTTACTCATACCCCTTTATCGTAGTAGACTGGAAAACTTATGTTCCAATACGTTCATGAGTCTTACATAGTTTAAGAGTCAAGACTAATGATAATTTATATACAAATTTTTTTTTACCCTAAGTATCTTTTAAGGACAAAAATACAATGAATTATAATTCTAAAATAAACAATACTTTAAATATAAGAATTATCTTAAAAATACTATTATATAATGAAAGATATTGATTATTGATTTTGAGAAAATCAAATAATATATTATTAATAAATAATAAATAAAGTAAAATAATATAAAAAAAATAATATATAAATAATATATTGACTCCACATCTCCCACAAAAATTTATTATAACATACTCTTGGAAAAAAATCTATGATAACATACTCAACATTACAGAGAAAAAACCATTAAGAATTTCTGTCAAGAATGGGATTCGAACCGATGCCCTTTCGGAGAAGATCTATGATAACAGATTAGAGAAACAAAATACATTTAAGAATTTCTGTCAAGAATGGGATTCGAACCCATGCCCTTTCGGACCAGTACCTGAAACTGGCGCCTTAGACCAACTCGGCCATCTTGACTGATTATCAATTTTCGAATAAAATATTCATTATTAAATACTTACACTTAGATTGTCATTAATATTAGATACATTTTATTTGTTGTTTTGTATGAAATAAAAATCTTGATTGATAGTTTGATTGTTTATTTATATTATGTGGAAAAAAATCTGTTAATCTATTTATTCTTTATAATATCTAAACATTTATACTTTTAGTTCATGCTGAAGGAACTTAGTACAAGATAGTATTTTATATGTTTCTGATGCTGTGAGTAATCAAGCAAGGTGCTTAATTTATTTATATAAGAGATTAAATTGATATAAAATTTAGTTATCGAGGATACGTTATGAATTCAGAGATCATTGGGTGGTGGTGAAGTAAAAGAAAATAAGTTTGCATGGCTAAAATGGAATAAAATATGTGAACTAGATTTTGTCGGTGGATCTGGGGTTAAAAATTCGTTAAAAGTTCTGATTGCTAGGTATGGTGGAAGTGTGCACGTAAATTAAGGAGACGCATATTAAACAATATACTCTTTACTTCATATTGGGCTTAAGGCCCATTTAACTAATGATGAGAATGCATTAATAACATTAAATATTATATTGTTCATGTAAAAATATTGGATTATATATATCAGTTAATTGAATAGCCGTATGAATTGTTGTATACTTTTTCACATGTGTTTAATTTCTAATCATAAAAGAACTCAATAAAAAAAGATGAACAGGAATAAACTTGCTTTGATGACATAACAGGAATATACAGTGAAACAAAAAGAAACAAAAAAACTTTACCATCTTTTCTAGTAAAAAATAGTATGTCATGACCTTCTGTGATTAATATTTGACCTAATTAGAAAGCAAGGTGCATGCTCCTGCATGCAACTCGCAGTTATGATCGGGTAAGTGTGTTGAGGATCTGAATCATAGCAACTTTGGAGTGAGTGGTGAACAATCTGAGAGCAGGGTCAACCAAGACAATGATTTGTTATCCGTTAGACACACCAACCGAAAGTTTCAATCTCGTGAAGCAGTGTTGTAGTAGTAGGAGTAGGTGAGAGATACATGCATTAATTTGGCTTCAACAAAGTCGAGGCATGAGTTTAGACAAATTTTAAGTCATTGTCGGAACCCCCATACTTTGCTCTTTTCTTAAAGAAGAAAAAAAGGACTTATAATTACCACCCTGAATCATCAAAACTACTCTTCAGCGTGACAATACTCATTAATTACTATTTCTGATGGCCTTGAATTTTGATTAATATTGGAGAGTTTCTTCAAATTAAAGTAACTGCGCTCGCATTGCTTTCGAGAATCGTGTTAAAGGCTTAAAAAAGTACTTTAAAGATTTCTATCTATCCTTTTGGTCTTCGATTGTTTATCATGGATTTCTATTGGATTCTAACTTCCAACTTCTTGTCGGATTCAAACAGGTTAGTAATTACTCCTTTTTAACCGTAAATGGAGAAAAAAAAAAATAATGATGGAGTGGGACTTATATCATATATGTATAAATGTTTCTTCTTGCTAAAACAATGAAATAATTAGGGCACACTAAATTTTTGTTTTATCAGAAAGTGTCAACTTAAGTGATATATTTTGTGCATGTGCAATATCTGTATTATCACGTACACACTATTTTATTTTTCGTATTATAAGAGGCTATATTGAGCACTGAGGTTGATGATTGTCCCCTCTTCCTAATTTATTAGGGTTTATAGGGACTAAAAGTGAAACTTGTTAAATAGTGGCCTATAGAGACTCCTATCCTATCCTATCTTATGTTCCTCATTTTTCTTCTTCGTCTAAAAGTATCACCGTCCCATCCTTCTTAATTTGTCCGAGATTTGCGTCACCGTCACCAGTAACTCTCAACTCTGTGTGACCTGCTGCCTCAGTCAGCAACCTAGCCCATCCACCACAATCTCACTTAGTAAACCAAGATTGGGACCTAGACACCACTCCTTCATTAAATCAAGAATAGACATGTTCACAATTCCTCACCAAATGTTCATCATTTATTATTTTTAACATAATCTTCGACACATACTCACTCAATTCATACATATATACTTTATCCCATGTTTATAAGTTTAAAGAAAACAAAAAATACCTTTTTATTATACGAAAAGTAATATATGTGAAAGGAGGATATTTTTTCCGAAATAACATATCTTTTCTTCTTCTTTATCTCCATATGTTTTCATTCATCCAATTCATACAGCTAGTGATACTAAAAATAAAAATATTAAAATAAATATCTTTTTCTATCCTTCTTGAATCTATCTATCTATTTTCACTGATTTCAATCGAAATCTTATGCTACGTCTGGCTAAAAAAAGGGTTAAAGGATTGATGAAAGAAAGAAATCATGTTACGTTATAATAGTTTCTCTATTTAAAATGTTAAACCATACAAAAAGGTTAAGGTATTTTAATGGGTCTAGAAAAATTACAGTCTGCATTTGAAAGAAAAGAGTATAAAAATGTCTTAGTTTATATCATATTTATTATTATTATATTATATTATATGATATTATTTTCATATAAACTTTTTTTTTCATTTTCTATAAAATTAAACATATTTTACTTATGTTTTATAGTTGACAATTATATGTGATGGTAGGTTGTATTTAACTTCACATTGTGATGTTGGTATATATATGGTTAGGAAATGGGGTTGGATAAGATGTATCTGTAGAAAGATAAGGGTATG